TCGATCTTGTTCATTATTAGATGAAAGGTGGAATATCAGCTTTCGTTGAACTTTTGCAGCACATGGCATTATTACTAGGTTCAGTTTGTTTTCTCCGTCTTCATGCGTTTTCCTTCATTAAAATATTGGTGGCACGAAGTAGCATTTTCTGAGATTTTTTTTGATGTCTCATTGCTGTCGAATATTTTTGCTGTTTTTGTTGTGTGAAGTTTTCGATGGCAACTGTTTCGTATTATTCATATCTGTGTTGCAGCTGTGTGCTGTAATGTGAATTCCATGATTAACGTCTTTTCATATTTCTCTTCGATATCTTATTTTTCATAATTACTAGCTTATAGAATATTTTACGTTATCAAGAACTTATTCATATTTTTATTTATTTATGGTCAGTCAGTATGCATGAAATTTTTCTTTGTTCAGTTTAATTTTCTGTGAATGGTTGTGCCTCTTGTTTATTTGCCAACACTAAAACTTGCACAGCAGAGTTCCCCACATTGATGTTCTGTGTTCCGATTAAAAAAATGATATCCTTGATTTACGTAGGGCATTACTGTCTATTCGGAGATGCAGCCATGTTCTTCTAACAGTTTCAGAAAAGATTTTCATGGCACCTACATCGCTCTCTAAATTAGTTAACAATAATACAGAGTCACGTGATCGCCATCGCCAAATACTTCTCCGTTCGAAATCAGTTTTTGCAAGTGGACAAGCAGAAGTCGGCAGTAAGGCTAAACAGATGAGCGACTGTACGGTTCTTCTCCCTTGCTTATTTTCTATTTCAGTGAGTGCATTGCCCGCTCGACCCACTTGCTACATAAAATCAGCAACAACAACAATAAGGGTTATGCCTTTTATTACCGCAGTTTATCATCCAGTATCAGCAGGGCTACAAGCGGCTGAAATGGGCTTTCTGACACAGATTGCTCGGCTCACATGTCTCGACATGGTCCGGAGTTCAGACCTCCAAGAGAGCCTTGTTCTAAAGCCGCTGCTTCTGCAAATCAAAACATCTCAAGTCACAGCTGT